TGCAGAACCACATCTAGGGTTACAAGATTTTGTCTCAAAAGAGGTGGATGGAGCATGCAGTGGCTCATTAAGATATAAAGGTGCAAAAATGAATTATAACATGTCCCTGCTATGTTAAATATGACTTTATCTTCTTGCCATCATCTACTACCACTGCACATCCTATGAGCTTCTCTCCTCTCAACCATAAAAATATATTTTTATATATACCTTACTGCATAATGAGAAGAGGTACTTTGTTTTTTTTTTAGTCTGTTTAGTCATACATTTCTAAGATCTTAAATCACTAAAGTCTACATAGTTGCCTTGTCTTCTGATTTGGCACTTTGGCTCAATCGTCGAGAAAAATGAAGTCGATGTGTCTTGTAGTTTCTTTGTTTTTCATGTGTGTATTTGTAAAGATACAAGGTGGGGAGTGCTTGGAGATGTCACTGTTGTTGCCTTAGAAATTTCTTTCACTCTGAAACCCCAGCATCAGATACTCACAGACAAACTTTAGGTTTCTGTGGGTTTGTCATCAAACAGTAAAGACAAAGGCTTTTCTTTTGAGGTCATGCACAAAGCCACAAAATAAGAAAAGCCTCATGTGGCATCAGCGTTTGCTATATTCCTTCTTTGAACTCCCACGCACCTGTCTGAGACAAACCCCGCTCACCCTTCTCTCATGTCACAGAATGATTGTAGCATGAAGTCACCTTTTATCTCTGCCACCTTTTTTTCTTGTCTCTCTCCTGTGCGGCACCTCAAAGCTAATGGGAGTGAGGTGCACATCAGCAACGTGCACTTTGAAGACACCGGGGCATATACCTGCATCGCCAGAAATGAGGCCGGTGTGGACGAGGACATCTCCTCACTGTTTGTGGAGGATTCTGCGCGAAAAACCTGTATGTATATGCAAACTGCTTTATTCATAATCAGAAATTAATTAGTCTATCCCTTATACCAGGGATGGCTCGATACAACGTTTTCATGTCCGATGCTATAACTGCTCTTTATCTACGGATACTTCTATCAATCCAGTACCCTCTGTCCTCCTCCAGTGTGCCACAGGCTCCTGTTGCCACTGAAGCAAAAGTGTCCCTGTTTATGACATGTAGAAGTTGCTTTGAGCATTTGGATATCAGATCAGATGGGATATGGTGTTTTGTTTTTTAATTGATGTTTGATCCTGAAAATTTAAATTAAAAGAAAATTCGGACCAACACCATTCCTGAGTTTCAGATCGTGCCATACCTTGTTTATACCCTGTGATGCATTGATGGAGCCCCTGTCATGGCATAATACTGGTACTGTCCCTATTACATATGGTCTTCAACGGTATGTACTTTTTTCAGTTTTAATTTTCACAACCATCCTCTGCTAACCTTTAGCACAAAGATAACTCTGTTTATCTGGTATGTACATATTTTAGCAGCTTAGGCAAAAACTGGGGTGACAGAAGGTTGGTAAGGTGATAAAAAAAAAAAAAAAAGACTGTTACAGATGTGTTTTTCCATGGCCGGGTCTTATGATACTCCTTAAAAGCTCAACTTAATTCTTCTTTGTGTCATTCTCCAACTCTGTGCCGTGGTATTTGCTACATTTTTCAAAGGTTAAAGTTGTGACACCATTGACCTTATTTAAATTTGGGTGCATTTTTGACACAACAGTCTCTTTTTGCTTGTCGACTTTAATAGAATTTTTCTACGGCATAATTAACTCTGAGCTTCTCAGAAATGTCAGAATGTGTCCATTGGGGGATCAAGGACCAGTTGGTGGTGTGTTATGACTCTTGTGTGTGCAGTGTGTGCAGCCACTCTGCAACTCTGCAGTCCAGTCACACACTCCTGTGTACTCCTTTCCACAAGTCTGACTTCTTTGGATGTCTTCCCTCCCTGCAGAACAATTCCTCTACTCTTCCTGTCATGCTTTAGGGAATCAGGCTCAGTGAGGTCAGAAGTCGCTTTTGTACTTTGAAGCTTTTGATCCTCGAATGTGAGCCAAAATGGTACAAGGAGTTGGATATTGCTGACCATCTTTTAGGGTGAGGTGGGAGTTGGAGGAAGCCCACAGGACAGCGGTTCAAAAGGGAAGTTAGCGGACAACCAGCAGACGTGGCAGCACAAAAACTTCACAAAAAAAAAAAAAAGGAAGAAACAGATTTTACTTTTATGTTGCAGTCAAGACTATAGGACCAAATGTATTGCTCCAGCCTATTGATGAGAATATCATCTTTTTCAGTGAGTAGTTCAGTGAGGACATTGCGACTTTTCACAGAATATCCAGCTTTGTGCCCCTGAGTCGAATTGTATACAAGATACAGATCAATTGTGTCTAAGGAATCATCACCATCCAATTGGAATGTCACAACGAACAGTGTTTCCAATGTCTTACACAACCTCTTACCACTCTTCCATAGTACCATGCTTCTTTATTTCAGCCTGAATGATGACATTGCAATTGTTCTTCCCAATGTTATGCTTCAAATCTCTAATGTCATTTTCAAAGTGTCATTTAACACAATATTCGTTGTGCAGCAAAACTAGTTTCACTCCACGTTTGCATTTACACTGCACGGTAATGCACACACACACTTCTCAACTAATGGGCATTAACAACTCCACCACGGTGTCCATGGTGGAGACACCACGGGATATGGAAGTTAACTTAAGCAACAACTATTTTTGCTAATTTGTGCTTGTGGTCATCTTAAATCTTTAAATCTATATTTTTGGTCCTTAGAGGATCAATCCTCTGCCTCTGAACCACATCACTCTTCTTTATAACATCCCTTTTTATTAAACACACCACCAGCCACTTTCCAGAACATCAAACCTGGTCAATCAAAGAGCTTTAAACCCTTGTTATCAGGTGTGAGGGCTCATGTGAACTGCCTCTGTTCACAATCATTGTCAAACTCTGTCAGTTGAAGACATCCAATGTGTTTCACAGCACTGTCCCTCAGTCTGAGCACGTGATTTGACAGATCCAGAGCAGAAATATTATCCCCACACTGTTCAAACACTGATTTTTGGATGGAACTGACTAGCTAATGTTGCAACAGATACGCAGGGAGGATTTTTCAGACAGATTCATTTTCT